TCTCCATGAGTTGGTTTTGAAACCCAGTAAGGGATTCTGAGATACATTACCAAGGATATTATTACAAGATAAATCATTTGCTTCATTGAACACATACAACAATGCATATTTCCACTGAGATCAGTGACCTTTGATGTGTATCACCAGTGATCAGTCAAGTAGAAACAGTCAAAATATTTTATCAGTTTTTCTTAATTTTTGCATGATATTTTCATACAGGACATCTGTTGTTCAAACTCAGGGAAGACTTTATACTGATGAACAAGGTGACCAAGTTTGATGAAGTTTGGACTAGAATTAGTAAAGTTATCATGCACACAATAACAATTATTAACGACGACGACAACGACGACGACGACGACGACGACAACGCCGGACAAAAATTTTCCCTTAATATACCTTTCCCTTCCATCTTTGATGGTACGGGCAAGGTAAAAACAAACCCTTCACAGCGTTGTCATGTTGCCACAATTGAACATATCGGCATTTTCAATGCACGATGCTTGGATTGAATAGGTAAACTATGATTATGTGTGGTTAATTCACTATATTAAAGGGTGGAAAAAGTTACAAGACTTCATTTCAATTACATTACATTACATTACACAAGATTTCAATGGTATTAATTCAATTATTGCTTTTAATTCAATTCTTGTTACAAAATGTGCTAATGAAAACAGGGTTGAAAGTCATCCCAAGACGAGGATATTAGCAACCCTGTCGGCTATACACAATATATAATCGATACCATAGAATATATTGTGACGCCATAAAATAACATTCCCATGTAAAATAGAAGGTATCCTTCAATGTACATTTCAATCATCACGTAACACTACTTCTAATAAAATGACTTTCAATAACTACTAAAACTGTGATTACGATATACAAAAAATAATTCGAATCAGTTGCATTCACATTTACATTATTTGCGGGAACAGATTATCATGCGAATTTAATTACGCAAATTAGATGCATTGACTCAAATTAGTCATGTTGCTTGACATGGAGTCTGTGAGAACACTGTGCATGTGCTTGCACTTATGCAAATGACATGCAAAGCTAATTCAAATAAAAGGTAGACGATTTCAATTATTTATAAAAAATGAAGATGTATGCTTCTATAAATGCATCGATGTCTGATGTGGGTCGTATGTCGTATATGTCTACATTGAACTGATTAGTTAAATAATTATTATGTTTATATAATTACATAAAACTATGAATGTGTACCTTGGTTGACACATAATTCGTTTATATCCAGTGTAATATGGCAAAAAGAATACATTATACAATCACAATAATGCATATCAACTTATTACTCGTCCCATGGGCTGAGGTCTGGTTTCTTTACTACTTTACGACATAGTGTAAAATACTTCTTCATTGCCCCTAAAATAAAAAAAAGACAAGATAAGAATCAACATACAATGAAATTCATTATGAGCAATATTCAAAATAAGCTGAATGGAAAGTAAATGTTTAAGAAGGCTCACCTTCTTCGGTTTCGCTGCATACATTGATGAAGGCAAGGTTGGACCCTTCTTCTCCCGACAAAGGAACAACTTCTCCAGGTGAGAACAAACATTGGATCTCTTTATATCCAGAAGCCGCCTCGAAATCAAATAAATCTTCTGCTTTCCCATTTCCGAATGTGTTAACGTATCCATTAACACCATATTTCCCAGTCAGATGAGGAGCTTGTGGTCGCATACCAAGATTACCATCTAGGAGTGTTGAAACGGGGTCACCATGTGCGATACAGAGACGATATAATGTTAAAGCTTGAGGAAACATTCTTGGGTTTATTTCCATCAGCTTTATTTCCGAATTAGGTTTTACAAATACCTCAATATTTACGAACTGATTATCAAAACCCTTTGCTATCATCATAGCCACTATTGTGTTGTATACTTTCCAAAGCTTTGCTTCTAATACATCCTCAATTGAAGCCGGGAGCACAACTGCCTTGAAAGATTTTGGATGTGTTTTCCAGTAAAGACTTTCACTTATCACCCAGTGGAAGACTTCTCCCTTGATCACGCATCCATCTAATGTTAATATTCTGGCACCCGTCACTAACTCCTCGACTATGACGCAATTCATAGCTGAGTATGGATATTGTTTCTGGTCAACATATTCCAGAAAATAAGGTTTCAAATCTACCAATCCGCTGAGTTGCTTATGTCTGATTATCTGTTTTTCCAGGTCAAATTTAGAGAAGATTCTGCTTACACCATAGGAACGTGTTCCTGTACATGGCTTCAGAAATCCCGGTATTCCAGTTATATTTAGCACGTTTTCTATAGCTTTTTGGTCATTTGCCTCATCGATATTCAAAATGGCGTGCTTGAGTTGCGTTTCCGGAGTCTCCAAATATTGTCGGGAATAGTATTTATGAGTTGCCAAGAAGTTTGATTCAACCGATGGGCCTTTTAGATGAGGAAATCGTTGGCACAAAACTGTATGCACGAGTGCACCAACATCTGTCAGTGAAACCACGTGAAGAATGTCTTTATTTCTCACTAATTCTTCACAAGTCGTAATGTACTTCATCAAATCAAACGGTTCTTCAAATGTCCATGTTATTGGTATAAACTTAAATTTCGTATTGTAGAAAGACGGTTTGATGGGCTGTGCGTAAATAGTGTCACTTTTGGTAGGACACAGAATTAACACAGGATGTTGCTTTGCCATTGCTGAGATGATTATATCACGAATCTGTGGAATGAAATGAGAATAATACTTAAGTATATTCTGTATGTATATATTTTTGTAGATATATTTTGTACACACACACACACATCATCCAGTCTTTGAAGACAACAACCACTGTCACACAGCAGTTGATACAGTAATGGTGATTGATGTCTTTTCTGAGCTATGGCATTTAAAGAAGGAGGGTCGTCACTTGCGCACGCGACGATAACAACACACGCTAATAACGCAATGGCTCGTGGGTAGACGCTTGTTTGTAAACAATGACATGTTATGGTCATCTGACGCATGCGCAGGTGACACACCCCCGCTTTAAGTTGTGAGACACTCACATACACGTGTTTTTGTATTCATGTTGAATGGATGTAAAAGACAAATTTTACCTCCATGCTCCTTAGCAACTGTAAATATGATAGTCCGCCTAATCTTACCTAGCTGATACCTAGTATTGATTGTGCAACTGTTTCCTTCAAATTTAGTGTCAATTATTATAATACAATTAGTTCAAAATATTGTGTATACTATCTAAATCGTTTAAATATATATTATAGCACGTAGCCTACTACGTTCACGTTACGGGATCTCGGCACGTGCCGAAATTTTTAATCCGTTGTGTTTGCAGAGGGATTACAGCAGTTGCGTTTACGTTATTCGGGACCCACTTATGACTCATTGGCTCGTGCAGAAATCACGCCCAAACATGGAAAAATGATACGCATATGATGATAATAATAATTGTTATAGTGAAATTATATCCATTTGTTGCTATGGTGTTTATTATGAGCCATCGTGCACATTAACGACAAAGAAGATTCGAAACACAATTATTTTTTTCACGTCAATGTAGTATTGCAAGAAAATAGAAGTTGCAGCAGCAAATAAATATGCATCGCTGACGACGGTTTGCATTCATCTCATTCATTACTACAGCATCCGACCATATACTAGTATATCTTAAATTCCTGTCATCGTCATTTCATACTGGTATGAATCAACTTATGTTTTTCTTAAATTTACCACCGAGGGCGTGATTTCGGCTCGTGCCGAGCGTTCAGGCAGCAAATCTCGGCACGTGCCGAGTTCCGGTCCCAAGCATCTATCGGAACCGAGATCGAGTTCTTTTCGGCACGTGCCGACTCGGTCCCGACCGTTCACACACAAGTTTCGGCACGTGCCGAGATCTCTAACCTGAAAACTTGTAGGAGTCTGTTCAAGGGCATTAGGCAAAGTGTTAGATCAGTGATATCACAGTCACTCTACTGTAGAGTGACTGTGGTGATATGTTCTAATTTGAAAGGTTTGTTGAATAGCTTATGTAAAGTAAATATACCAGTATACCAATTTGCAAGAAAGGCTGTAAACAATATTTTTCTGACAGTTTTCATTTTCTTCATCATTATAACAAAATATTTTTGCCAAACTTGGCCAGCTTGGCGCTCGTTCTATGTACTAGTATATGGTTACGTCTATTTGGATTTAGAAAGGACCAATTTTTTAAACAATGGAGAAAAGTTGAAAAAAACAAAATCACTCATAAAAAAGGGCAACAAATTCTATAATACTGCATATAATTAACTTGAAGAAAGTTATGTCATGGCAGTTTTTTCTCTGTTAGATACATCCCTTCCCTTGTAATTTAGCTTTCCATATACATGTACATGAGTAATATTCCCCATTCAAAAGGTCGCCACAGCGGGCGCTTAGCTCGAGTTCGTGCACACTTCTTTGGCCCATGGGTCTGGACTGGCTTTTAAAAACGGTCAGATTGAGCCCGTAATGAGCGTTTGCGCACGTTTTCTTTAGCACCTCTTAAAGGCGAACCGCTCAATCCCATGGATTGCACCAAAGAATCATGGAACACTATTGTTTATGTTTACAAAGTTAATCTATCTTTGTTATCTATTGTAATTTTAATCCTGAAATTAAATTTGTTGTGAGATTAGAAGTGGAAGTGCCCCTTTGAGGTATTAGTTGTGTTCACGTTACACGAAGCACGGGCTAAGATTTGAGCTGATTTAGGCTTATCTAGCATATTTGCATTTCGGCTAGACCTAATTGCGTCCACGCACGGGCTAAGGGGCGCCATCAGTCGGTGACCTTTGGCAAGCCGCTATACAGGAACGAAAAATGGATGACACGCGCGAGGTTCTATTTCTGCTGCTGACATGTTTCGTTCCAATTTTGAAGCGACGTGCACAGGAACGCGAGAGGAGACGGACCCAACTTATTTGGATGCACAGAAACAGTATACAACGGCGGAACAGTATACATAATCTTATTAATGCATGGAATTTGACTTCTTAGCCCTTGCTAAGGAGCTGTGCGTAAACGCAATTATAGATACAGGTTCGTGTGCATTTGGGAGTGAATTGTTTTTTGGCTTTTTATTATCCAAACAGTCTTGGCTATAAACTGTTAAAATTTCGCAGCATTGTGAGTAGTGGAATATACTGAAAAGACGATTTTAAAATATAGAAAACAGGTACAAACATTCTCTATTGAATACTTAGCAAGATTTAGCAAGGCTGTACATAAATAATCAAAAAGAAACATGGTGAAAAAAAAGTAATGACGGCATCTCCATATTATGCACTATATTTAAATTTTTACAAAACGATAATAGGTTTAAATTTCAACTGTTACAGCCATTTTAATTATGAGTCAAAACCTTGCATGAAAACTGTCATGGCGTCGTGTATTCCGGTGAAATGGACCATGCCAAGTTAGACGAGGTTGAAATGGGCCGTAATATTTTGCTACACAACGGATATTCGCAGTTTTTACTACTCGGTCGCTCAAGCGCCGGTGAGAAAAAAAATCGAAATCGACGGGTTTCATTTAACTACAGACAACGTCACAAGACAGGTCGATACAAATTTAACAAAACCTGACCTCTGGAAATACCTCATTCATAGAGTGCCTTAGTACCAGAGGTCGCCGAGCACGAACGTACAACGTACTTTGCGACATTGCTACAGATGCATGCCAGCTGACAAGGGGGTTTCCGATTGCAGTAACACATATGGCATCGCAGAGTGCTTGATTTTTCCGCGGTGTTTAAAAACAGCATCTCGTTGTCGATTTTTATGTAATTTCCAGGGTATTTTTTTATTTTTAATTAACTGAGCGTTTTACGTTTGTGTATTTTGCCACTGAAAAGTTCATATTATGCACTAGAAGTTGTCGACATGTTGCGAGATAAGCAGGCTCGTGGCCAGCACTTTTGAATAGGGGGTTCGAAAACAACAATTATATATTTGATGTGAAATGTGTGAATTTTATAATATTCAAAAAGTGTGTAACAGATTACAGACATTTTTATATTATCGGTTTTAAATTCAATTGGTTTACTTTGTGTTACGTTGGTAAGATATTTCACATAACATCTTTGAACTATTTTACCATTTTAGAGAAGGGGTACTGAGCCATTCCTCGCCTAAAGACAAACACATCCACACCATTGATCCACTACGGCAAAATGTTGTACACAAAAAAGACAAGACTGTACTTATCTTAGCATTATTGTCTAAGTATTTTAAGGTAGAAGGCTACTTACGAGTTTTTTCGCTCTTCGCAGATGTTAGCGCACATAAAAGTGACACGATTTCATGTCGTTTTGTGTGTGTGTGTGTGTGTCTGTGTGTGTACATTTCCAGTGTTCCAGTGTTCACGTATTATTTCTTCTGTGATTTTTTTGGCTTGGCCGATTTCGTTCAAACTTGGCAGGTAGGTCACACCTTAACCCTAGTTATAAGGAAAAATCTGTAAAAATTTTTTGGCCCACCGTTGCCATAGCAACAGCCAAAAAACTGATTTTTGGATAGCTTCGCGCCAAATGTATCTCCTCCTACAAATTTGGGATAAAATACTTCAAACATAGCTCATTCTACTCAGCTTGAGTGTGGGCACAAAGTTACCATTTGAATTTTTGATATCTGTTTTCATTACCGAGAAATTTGACCCCAAAGTTGGGGTAACTTTTCACCAGCAACGGCTCGGCTGGTTTTGTTCATACTTCACAGGTAGGTCGTGCCGTCACTAATTGGAAAAAAATCCTGGCCCACCACTGCCATTGCAACATCCAAAAACTGATTTTTGAATACTTTCGCCCCAAATGTATTACCTCCTACCAGTTTTGTACACAGTCAGCTGGCATCAGTGTCGCTGGGTGTATATGATAAAGGGAAGTTGTGCAACCAAATTTGCCGAGTTTGCAGT